CATCTTTCTCTCTGCTTTTATCAGCCTGAATAATTTGAATTTATCACGTAAGTGGTATCTTTGAGTTTCTCCTCTTCCTCCTCCTCCTTCTTCATCTTCTTCTTTTTTGTTTTTTGGAAAAGGGTTTCTCTGTTGCTAGGGAGCCTATCCTGGAATTTTCTCTGTAAACCAGGTTGGCCTCAAACTCACAGATATCTGCCTGCCTCTGCCTCCCAAGTGCTGGGATTAAAGGTATGTGCCACCACTGCCCAGGTAGTATTTTTCTCCTACACTTGCCTTATTAGACTTATCATAACATCCCCCAATTTTATTCTCATTTTTGGAAATAGAAAGACTTCTTTTTTAAAAGCAAATACTATTTCCTTGTACACAGTCAAGAAGACTGTTTCTCACCGCAACCATCTGTGTCAAAGAGAGTGGACCCAACCCTATTGGCAGCAAAGAGAAGATCCTTTCACAATTCTTATCATTAACTTTCTCTCAATTAGAGTTGGGTAAATGGCAAAAACTCACATTCTAGTCTACTGGGTAAAAAGATACAGACATGATAGATATAATAAGATGTTTGTTTCTAATTGTTTAACCTAAGCAGGGAGCCTCAAGTTAAAGTTCAAAGGGACTAATAGTTGGGTCAAATTGAGTCACCTAATAAAACTCAAGCAAGCATTTCCTCCTTCAGATAACACCACATTTAGTCCCAAGACCAACCTCAAACACTGTCCCCTACCCTCCCATGCTTCTGTCTGGGTGTAGAAGGTGGGGAGAGGAGAGCTGCAGTGCCTCCCAGCAGAGAACTCTTTCTTTCACAGGACCAGCAGCACCTGTAGAAACAGCTCTTCTCCAAGGCTCTGATGGTCCGCATGAACCAACCCAGCTGCGAACACCTCAGCAGTGCTGGGCACCAGAAGGATCCCTTCCAAGACTGAGGCTGCCACCACGGTCAGGCAGGAAGGGAGTGTCCTTGTTCCCAGTTTCCTCTTTGTCTGACAGATAGAGGTTAGACAGAAGCCTTGCCATCCATGAAGGACACTGTGGTGCTGATTCACGGAAGCTCTTTCTTTTTCTCCATTGTTTGATGAGCATCGTGCCCCAGCTGACCTGCCTCCTCCCAGCATCCTGGCTTCCTCCTGGTTCCACCCCACTGGAGGCCTTCTCCAGTAATTGGCACTTGTGAGGCATGGCAGCTAGCCGACATCCTCTGTCTCCAGCTACTGCTCCCTTACCCTCCAGGAAAGCAGTGAGTCTACCACACGCCGCCCCAGTCACGTCCCCAACGAGTAGCCCTGGTCATCTTGCAGAAGTTTCATGCTTTGCAATACGGCTGGAGCCTCAGAATCTGGTCTGTACATGCTGCACAAGATCGTGACACAGGCCAACTATTTATTTGATGTCGTCAAGAAATCATTTAAACAGAAAAGGAGAAAAAGGGAGTTGCTGCATTGGAGCCCATTGGAGCCAGTCATCAACTGTTGGAAGCCAAAGTGAAGCAATTATGGGATGAGCTTTATAAGTCATCCTAAACATAAGAACAAAAGTGTTGCTTGCTGTAACTTCATTCCTCAGCCTGGTCAAGTTCCACCAACGGGTTCTCCTTTTACCAACTCTGCCCATGAGCTTAGGCTATGTCCCAACAATCCTGTATCCATCTTATCTGTTCACATATGCCTTCCTGTGCTCCAACAGGACAGAACTCATGACACCTTCTATGAGTCCATATTTTAGAGCCTCAAGGCTGTAGAGTGCAGTACCGCAGTACTGAATGAGTGTCCCTAGCCTCCAGCTCCGGGATGCTGGAGATGGTCCCCACCTAAAACTAGAGTTGGTCAGAAGGCTGATGCTGTAATCCCAGAAACTCAGAGGTATCTTATCATCTCTGCCAACAGAAGACGTAACTCTCAGAGAAGTCATGCTGGAGTCCCGGGTTCTAGGAGGCTTACAAACTGAATACCATTGTCAACACACCTGCAGCTTTGGGGCTGGATCAGTCCACACCATTTTGTTGCTACTGCCTATTGTTGCCACATTCTTTATCTTAATCCTTTGTCCCCCTGCTTGCTTGCTTACCTCTATCTAGAACTGAAACCCTACTAGCTAACCCAGGCCTTTAGAGGGGCCCGTATCTATGTTAAAGTAACCTATCAGTTCAAAGGGAGGCAAACAAAAACAAAACAAAACAAAAAACAAAATGGCCAGCCACCTGGATAGTTCACCTCACAACCAGCTCTCAACACTCCAACAGCCTTTTCCCTTCTCTTTCCTTCTTAAGACTATATAAGTTCTTAGGCCCATCCTGTACCTTTTAAATTTAGAATATATTAATTTTAATTAATGTTTGATTATGACATTTTCATACATGCATATAATGCATCTTAATCACATTCACTTCCCCCTTCCCCTCCCCCTCCCACTGATCCTCTTTTCTCCTCCCAAATAGTTCCCTTTTGTGCTGTCTTTAGGGTCATTTACCAGAACTTGGGTGAGGGCTTACTTACAGGAATATGGGCAACTTACCAATGGGTACACCAGGGGAAAAAAAAAACAAGTCTGTCTTCCCCACCAACCATGAAATCCTCAGGGAGGGGCATGGCATTGGGAGCTACTTACTCCCTGCTCCATGACAGGATTGGGACCGATCTTGTGCAGGTAAGCAGAACTGCTCAGAGTTCAAGAGTCCAACAGCCAGATCATGCCCAGAAGACAACATTCCGCAACGCTCCCCCTTCCTCTCCCTCTTAGGAAATCTTTCTGCTCCCCCATCTTTTGTGATGTTCCTGGAGTCTTGCAAGGGATTCCAGAGACATCCTGTTTAGAGCTGAACATTCAGCACTTGCGGCTGCTTTTACAGACAGGCAAGGTTGGGAAGCTGACCCCAAATACAGAAGGCATATCGGTCTTTCCCCTCAGTTGTGGGAAGGGGCTACAACCTGCTTAGATGGTAGCAATTATGTTAGGGAGGAGGGGAAAGAAGCCTCCTCTTGCTTCTCTGGCTTAGTGTGACAGTCGATGTGACAGGTTGTACTTTTGAGAGCAATGACCTGCTCAACTTAAAGACCACACACATCCGCCAACATGCTGACACACACATACTGACACACACACTGACTGAGACCCACACCGGCCTACACTCCGATGCACACACACCCATACACACACACACCGATACAAGCAGACACCCTGACATACACAGTGTGCTCTCCACCACTCTTGCCTGAGTACTCTATAAAATGTAGTTTCTTGACTTAGATTGTCGTAAGGCAGATTAGATGTCTCTCCCCTCTAGCCAGGCACAAGCTTACCTCTGGTCATTCTAAACCCTTTCCATCCCTAATTTGCTCCAGAACATTCAGTTATCACCAGGTTAGCCTCTGAGGACTCTCAGAAGGCTCTCCATAAAAGCAGGCCACAGACATTAATGAAGATTTTCCCTGCGGACCCTGCTGGTCAGAGCAGGGGTCAGTGTGATATCTACAGACTTGAATTCATTCAGAGGAAGGCAAACGGGAGGGCGAAGGGAGGTCATGGCTTACAAGAGGCAATGTGGCAATGGCAAGGAAGCATTCTGCTTTAGAAGAGGACCGTCTGAAGGGAATAAGTACATGGACCATCAGACAAAAGGACCCACTGGAGGGGAACTCTCTTAAATCATTAGAAAAACTTCATGCTGCAAGGAGATTCTGTCTGTTACTGAGCCATGCTGAGACCAATGAGCAGAATAGAGTTATCAAGGCCTCTTTTGTTATGGGAGACCCAAGTTTCCTTAGAGTGCCAACACTCTGTCAACATTGATTCCTACCGCTTTGTTTTGCATGAAGTTCCTTCCAACATGAAGGGTTCTGGCCTCAGCCGGATGGTCATACTTCGGAGTTATTCACAGAGATACCCGCTGCTCATGGAGAGGCTGGACCAGACAGCCTGGCTGAGTGTCAGCATGCCTTGGGAGGGTTTTCAAGTATACAGGTTACCAGACCAGACTTCTCTCAAGAGTGCCCAGCTCTGTGGTGGCCTCTGGAATATGCATTTATGCTCGGTAACCGCTTGTGAATAGTAATGGCCGACAGCCAGTTGACTAAGCAGGGGCCAGGAAACCTTCTAACAGCAAGACTTGGTGATTCTACTTCATCCCAATCTGCTTTCTCTGATAATTTCAAATGTTAGTGAATTTAACTAGAACATAAGTGGTATGCAGTGTTCTTCTAACACAACATAGTGATAGACAGGCACCACCCTTGAAGGGACAGTTTCTACAGTAAGAGCTGTCTCCTAGAATTACCAGGGCTGTGCTGCCTGCAACTGCTTGTGTCCCTATAACCGTCCAGACAGACACTTACGCCATCAGAAAATGGAACAATGAACCCCAAATCATTAAAACTGCCCCAAGAATCCCACGCTGGAAGAAGGTGAAAAGCTGCAGGGGGGATTGTACACCACTCTGACTACTTATCGGACCACCTGATAAGACAAACCAAAGCCAAGACAATGATAGGCAGGACCACCCCTGGGACAGGACTGCCAATGCATACCTGTCCTCTGTCTGAACCTAAATTCCATGTCAGTGCCCCCAAACAGAGACCCGGGAGTTCCCGGGCCCTTTATTTGTGCCTCTTCCCACACGGCCATATTGAATACATCTCTTGATTTTGTTTTCTTATTCTAACATGTGTCTTTAATAGATGTACTGGGCACTGGTGGCTGAACACTGCTGCCAGAGCCCAAGCTTTGACCCTGGAGCTCCAGGAAGATCCCCAACAATGCTTAACACTCTACTGGGCTCAGCCAATCCACTCCAGCCTCAGTAAAGCACTGACTGTGTAACTGATACCACTACCACTCTGCATTATGTTTAGACAACTGGAAGGTTCTAGCAATCAAACCTCAGGCTTGAAATTCCTTCCAGGGCTCGATAACTGTGGTTTGACGTCAGCTGTGCTTCTCATCCTCCAGACCTGCCTTTTAGTGCAATAGACAGTGCTGTTCGGTTCCCCTGCATGGCTGCCTCAAACCAAAGGCACCGCCTCACAAAGGTGAGAAAGTGGACTTGGCATCTCCACTCTGCTCATCCCCTGCCACGCTGTGTCTGCTTGAACAGAGCCAAAATCAGAATGGGCTAATGTGAGGCGTTGGCAACACGAACCTGACACATGGATGTACACACAGAACCAAGCCCGTGGATTCGGAACACTTCGTGACATTGTTTTAGAGCTCATGGGGGCAATGTCTGTGCATGTGGAAAAACGTTTCCATAGCATTTTCCTAATACTTTCATTAGCTGGCAGGCAGAGCGTGAACTGGGGCTTTTGGGGGTTGAAGCGCTTTGGGCTCCCCATTTCTGCTCCGCTTAGTTCTGAACAGTGAGCAATGTCGTAAGATAAAGCTGTAAATATCTGATGTAATAGCACAGGACTTCTGTGAAGAATCAGAAGCGTTCTTGTACTAGTGGGAGGAGGGTCTGAATTCCCATATGTGTTTATTTAAAATATAGGAGAGCAAACTCCAGTTAGCATCACGTGTCTACAGTAGGCAGGCATAGGTGTTTGCGGAAACAGAATAAAAAACAGCCTGTGTTTGATTTGTTCACAGGCCTTTTGTTCTTAGCTGTCGGGGGAGAGTTTCAGAATGGGGATGGAGTAAAGCTTTGATATGGAGCCCAGGCTGACACTCCAGGTAGGAGGGTGGCTTCTCTCGGTGTAGAAACCCATCCTCCAGCAGATTTGTTAGAGCCATGAATTTGGAGGAGGGAATGGAAACCTAAATTGGAAGGTCTATGATCTGACTATAGGCCATGGCTGTTGGCAGCCTTTCCCCCACCAGAGCTTACCATTCCCACCTTGCCCCCGCCAGCTTTTTCCCACCCTCATCTTTACCTACATAGTACAGTGGTCCAATCCACTTCTGGCTATAGACTACTGGGGTTCGAGGCATACTTAGCTATATCCTGACTACATGATGAACTTGGCAAACTGCAGTACTGATCTCCCCACCTGTGAGATTCCATAGTAGGTACTGAATGAGAGAATATTAACATAGGTTATCTCATGGTATGTGCCTGGCTCATTAAAAGCAGAACAGGAAAGTGATGTGGAATTCCCCTCTGTATGCTGTGAACACCATGGGTTAATAAAGGAACTGCTTTGGGCCTATAGCAGAATAGGGAAGACAGAGCTAGGTGAGGAAAAACTAAACTGAATGCTGGGAGAAAGGAAGTGGAGTCAGTGAGAAACCATGGAGCCCCCGTTTATCTGGTAAGCCACAGCCTCATGGCAATACACAGATTACTAGAAATGGGCTAAATTAAGATATAAGAGCTAGCCAGTAAGAAGTTAGAGCTAATGAGTCAAGCAGTGACTTAACTAATAGTTTCTGTGTGATTCTCTAGGTCTGAGCTGCTGAGCTGCTGGGAATTGACAAGTGGCCTCCCTGCAACAAGAAAGCATAAGTTCTGAAATTTCACTGCCAAGCTGTGGCTGCATGGGCATGGACAAAGTTCAAGTCAACTGCCTTGCATTTGAGGGGGGCAAGCAGGCATTAAGATCTACATTTTACCTCAAGAAATGGAGGCGTTAGTGGCTAGGCCTAAGGTCACAACTACAGAAGCTGTTTGGCTAGAATTTGCCGCCAGGTCTCTTTGTTTCAATGACATAGCTCTTTCCATCAGACTAGAAGTCACCTTCAACATCATTCAGCAAGACTGCCAAGAAAGGTCACATTTAAATATCCAAAACTAACACGCATGGACTGAAGGGTCAAGAGTATGTGTCTAGGGATAGCCGGAAAAATCAAAATTTCACGACAAATGCTAGATAAAATGAAATGCTTCAGAACAGTGAAAATTGATTTTTAAGAGGCCATAAAACATACAAATAAGTTTATGGTTTAAACTATAAGCATCATTGTTGGTGTCTGTTTTTTTTTTTTTTACTTCATCTTTTTCTGCAAAAACATACTAAACATAAAACAACAACAACAACAACAACAGCCCAAGCCCCTCCTTATAGAAGTCCACCATGAATGCAGAGCCCTTCCCAATCCACCAGGGCCTCAGGCCAGCTTTTGGAGATTACTTCTGGCAGCAGTTACAGGGCTTCTTCAACAGTGGGTGATGGGGCAGGGTGGGGGCTCTCATGTGCCTGTAGTGACTAGCAGGTGAATGAAAACACAGAGGAGGCTGCCACAGACAATCTCCCAAGGAGACCTCCCTGCAAGGCCCCCACCTCCACCGTCATTGAGAAGAAAGCCCAACTTATCAACACGGTGCTTTCCAAACTTTAGTACATAGAAAACGCAATGGGAATGTTCCAGAAGCAGATTCCTGGAAACTATCTCCAAATTCCCAGTTTGTATGTCTAGATTGAACCCTAAAATCCTCCCTCTCTAAGCAGCTCCCAGCCAATGCAGTGTTCTCACGTAGGGCTCACACTTTAAAGGGCATAGGTTGATACCCTCATGCCCAGTCTGACAGCAATCTGATTGCAATCTGGGGGGGGAAGAAGGCATGGAGGAGGGAAGTGGGGGAGGGGAGCAGAAAAGAACAGAGCATAGTGATGGAGATATATGGAAATGTCACAATGTCATTCATTACTTTGTATGTAAATCTTAAAAAAATCTCAAGGTCCAAATCAGGAGCAGAAGGAGAGAGAGCACGAGCAAGGAACTCAGGACCGTGAGGGGGACACCCACACACTGAGACAATGGGGATGTTCTATCGGGAACTCACCAAGGCCAGCTGGCCTGGGTCTGAAAAAGCCTGGGTTAAAACCGGTCTCACTGAACATGGCAGACAATGAGGACTACTGAGAACTCAAGAACAATGGCAATGGGTTTTGATCCTACTGCACGTACTGGCTTTGTGGGAGCCTAGGCAGTCTGGATGCTCACCTTACTAGACCTGGATGGAGGTGGGTGGTCCTTGGACTTCCCACAGGGCAGGGAACCCTGATTGCTCTTTGGGCTGACGAGGGAGGGGGACTTGACAGGGGGAGGGGGAGGGAAATGGGAGGCGGTGGCGGGGAGGAGGCAGAAATCTTTAATAAATAATTAATAAAAAAAATTATTTAAAATTTTCAGTGTGACCCCTTAGAAGTCCTGACCGGAACTGATGCTCCACCCCCTCGCAACCGTTGCTTGCACTGTTGGTGCTTCTCACGGCTCCGGGGAAAGCCCTCCTTCCACTCTCCCTTCTCCCCTTGCTGATGTTGGAGGCAGCCCCGAGCCAGCTTTCCCTTGTGTGAATTAATGAAGGTGAGTGAACTGCTGGTCCGATCCTGAAGCCCACTCGGTGCCTGCCAGCCCTATGTCATACCTTATGTTCTGATAGCAAACACGGTTATCTAACCTGGTGGTATGTGTTTGGCCTTTGTGTTTTCCAAAGATGGGTTTTCTCAGTTCTTAAGTCCTGGCGTGTAATAACCGACAATTAGCAAATAGAGTTACCAACGGATGTGTTTACCGGCTCTTCATGCTACACAGGTGGTACTGTCTGGAAACACCACTTGCAAGACGCCCAGCGCAGCACCATCTTGACTCCGGGAGCCCCTGATGTGTCATTCTGAAGCCCTTCCTAGCAGAATGGGCGGGTGGGCTCCTAGCTTAAATTCCTCAAGGGGGGGGTCAACTAAACAAATGACTTTTCTTCCTTCTTGATTTGGACTAAGTTTTATATTCTTGTGTGACCCATCTTATTTATTTATTTATTTATTTATTTATTTATTTATTTATTTATTTATGAAATCCCAATGGCTGATCCTACCTGTCATGGTTGGTTTGATTGTCAACTTGTTCCATGGGGGGAAGAGGGAACCTCAATAGGGGATTGCTCCCACCAGACTGATGACCTGGTGGGCATATCTACAGGGCAGTCTCTTGACTGCTAATTGACGTAAGGGAGCCCAGCCCACTGGGAGTGATACCATCCCGAGGTAGGTTGGCTTGGACTGTCTATGAAAGGAAGCCAGCAAAGAGTGGCATTCTTCCATGGTCTCTGCCCCATTTCCTGTTCCTATGTTCCTTCTGCGTTGAGTTCCTACCTTGGCTCCCTGAGCGATGGACTGTCGCCTCCCCAAGTTGCTTATGTCACAGTGCTCTGCTACACCAACACACTACCCACCCATCGACAGTGGAAAGGGGGAGACAAACCACTGAAGGCCTTTCCGTTGTCGGCCGCACTTTCCTTCAGTTAAGTATAGGTTTAAAGTCGGCAACGCCCTTCAAGCATGGAATTAGGTAAGAAGTGTGTATTCTTTTGCAATACTGACCTAGGAGCATCTAACGTCAGGAAACCAAGCAACCACGTGAGAAGCTGAATTATTTCCAGGTGCATGTGACTTTTACTGTTCCCTTTACCTCGCGTTACATGGTCTGCCGTGTCAGGAGGATAGCTATCATCTTAGAGATGAGCAATTAATTCCTCTACCTTTAATCTCCACGATTTGCTTTGCACTGGAAGTTTTGACAAAGGCTTGTGACTACCAGGAAGTCTTCAGCAGCCCTGTGTGAGCATCTGCTAGACGCTCGCAGTAATCCCTCCAAAGCACAACCTGCCTCTTGCCTCTCTTACTCTCGGAGCATCAAGGCGTGGCAGGTCTATCCTTCACAGTTCCTGCGTAGGCTGAGCCCAAACCTGAATGCACAGAACAGGTAGAATAGACAAACAAGATTGCGGGACAGCCAGGCCCGGGCCAGCATGCAAAACTCACTGCCTTGGGCTCAGTCTATCCTCAGCCTGGCAGGGAGGACCCTTGGATGTCACCTTGGGCTGTTTTTCGCAATTTCAAACTGATGGTGTAAGTCCCCTCTTCTTCCACTACACCAAACCGCGTGAGCCAAATTGTTCTGACAGATAGAGCCTTGTGACACGGCGCCTGTCTGGCACTTATTCAAGTACAATACGATGCTATACCCCTCTCATTCTTTCATACACGATGGCAACTGACTTTATTCACGCTGCTGACACACCTTGTCGCTGTGTTGCGTGCCACTCCTCCTAATATGGGGGTATTAAGAACCAACTGGAAATTTATCTTTTGATAGGAATACATCACTTGGATAATTAATAGCCAATTCAAATGCATATGCATCCAGTTTTAAATAATTAATAGCCTACATTCTTGAGCGCCTCAGTCACGTCCACCTATTTTGCAAGTAACGCAATTAAAAATGACTCATCTTCGGTATCATGTAGACCGTCTACCTGGCAGCAATAGAGCAGTTCTAACTCCCGGCCATGTAAAGAAGCCGTGGTATTTTTCTGAATGTCCACGGAACACGAGTCGGGCCATCGGTAGTTGCCTTTTGTCATGTGTCTCTGTTAAGATGAGATAAAACTTTGCCAACTTGGTCAAAATAGAAGCCCCAACCAAAACAACAGTCAGCAGGCACTTCCCGCTAACCCTAAGGCAGAACTTGCCACCGAATTAACTATTCCATCCTATCAATGAAGCCCGGGATGTAGTTCCCACGGACCTATCACCAAAGGTCAGCCAATGACAACAGCAGCTTGCAGCTTACCAACACAGAGAAAAACGTCTGCTGAATCGTGGTCACCCAAAAGGGAAATTTATTAGAGGGACAGAGAGATGAGTTCGTAGACTGTACCCTGTGCACTGGAGATAACCTATTTTCACCATCCATTTGGACAAAACGCAACGGGTGATAATAAGGTTGCTGGATGATTTTATGTCTAGTGTTCATAACTGCAGGATAGTTTCCTGGCCCCTTTGTGAAGTCCCACTCTCTCTTGTCTATTCCCATTCATAAATCTGAGGGGAGAGAATGGAAGGGAAAGAAGGTGAGCATCAGACACGGCATGAGACAGTTGACTCCTAGTCCTCACTATTGGAGGTGACTATAACTAAACTGGCATTCTCATGGTGTGCTGGCCAAGAGACAGAGATTCATCAAGACAAAGGGAAGGATGCTCACAGATGCTTCCCCTTCACCCGATGCTATAGGAGCATCATTCTGCAGCCCTGACGCCCTTCCCTTCTTTCATGTCCTTTCCTCTAGGCCGCAGCCTGCTACCCCACCCTCTCTCAGAGAAAGGCTAAGATCCACACGGAAAGTGGGCCATCATCACCTAGCCCTTTGGAACATTGTACAACAGCAGAATCTGGAGTAACTCTGGACCTTCGCAGACAGGCAAAGGAGGAAGGCCACAGTCTTCAAAGTCACCCTCAGCTCCATCTGCATGAGGCAGGAGCAAGCAAGCTTTTCGGACAGACAGTCAGCGGGTCTATTCTAGTTTCTAAACTTGGGAGAATATCATTGGGAGGATGTTTTCCTGGAATCAGCACTGGGACTCAAAATATTTATGATCACCTATGGATTAGAATACAATACAGTTTTTTTATGATAACTTTTTTATTGGAAAGTAGCTTGATTCCTTCCTTCCTTCCTTCCTTCCTTCCTTCCTTCCTTCCTTCCTTCCTTCCTTTCTCTTTCTTTCTAAAATGTTTCTGATCCCTTAAGGGCTAGAGAGATGGCTCAGGGGTTAAGAGCACTTTTGTTCTTTTAAGAGAACCAAGTTCAATCCGCAACATCTACATCTATATGGGGCAGCTCACTCTTGCCTATAATCCCAGCTCCAGGAAAATCTGATGCTCTCTTTTGGCCTTTAAAAGCAACACACACACACACTATATATATATATATATAGTGCCCTCTAAACTAATTTATGTTACCAGTTTCAGGCCAACAATGTGGCATTTGCTAGTTCCCACTGTTTGAACTCTGATCAACACCAGAGCATAAACACTGCCTGGAAAATGTCTCCCTAATTCTATCTAATCTAGAAAAGAGATAGCATTGGGGCAGATTTAGCTCCAGGTGTAGCCACTGATGCTAATCTGACTCCCTGGGCTGGGTTTAAACCTTTGTTTGCTAGGACTGACCTTCCATTATCATCACATACCGAAGAAAGCACTGGTACCAAGAAATCTGATCAGGTGGTGCTGCCAAAGAGTAAGCAAGGACCACGTTGCTAAGGAAAATTCAGGCACCAGGATGTTTAGGCAAAGGAATGAGACTGTGTATTTAATGGCAGTTAATGGTTTTCATAGACAATTTGAGGACTCAAACCCAGGGCAGTTATTCACAAAGGAAGAGAGACTCTTCCTTTAATTAACATTAAGAAAGTTAAATCCCAGCAGGCAGTGGTGCACACCTTTAATCCCAGCACTCCGGAGGCAGAGATAGGTGGATCTCTGTCATTTCGAGGCCATCCTGGTCTACAGAGCAAGTTCCAGGACAGGCTCCAAAGCTACACAGAGAAATCCTGTCTTGCAAAACAACAACAACAACAACAACAACCAAAAAAATCAAACAAGCAAAAGAGTACGCCCCCCTCCCCCTCCCCCGTTCCTTAATGAGTCTTCTCACAAGTTTGATAGGAAAATGCTGTTCCTGTTTATAGACAGAAAGAGGGATCACCAATGACAGAAACAGAGGGGAACCTCTGACCAAACACTTGCCAAAGCCTTCCTTGTTGGAGATGGTCTCAGTGACTGAGTTATCTGTCATGCTACCATACTTGACTTCTACTTAAAATGAAAGAGAAAGCCTGTTTCACAGAGCCCAACGAGCTCTTTCCAATCAATGGCAATCTATTTCCCCACCAGGTGATGTTTACATAGCAGCCTCAGAGACCTGAGTCAGCTCGGGAGCTCAACACAATTGAGGAATTATTTCACTTGTCTTCACTTTAGATGTAAAAACAGGCGATATCAAGTAGGAACAAACACATGCAAGCTTCCATGGATCTAGTTTTTACAAGAGATAGCCCTAGAAAGTATTTGCCAATATTGGAAACCGGAAGCTCCAATGTGTCTCTTCCTAAATTGGCACAGGTTTGCTCACTTTGCTAAGTTAAATCATGTATAGGGCTCCTGTCTCCTCTCCCTGACCTCGACTGAGTCGCACACAGCCTGAGTCGCACACAACCGCTTGCCTTTCCAATTATGGTCGCCATCTAGTGGCTGAAATGGTAAACTGCAAGATACTTGGTAATGTCCTTAGAAAGAAAAGTTCACTTTCTCCACTGGGCATTCGTAACATGATTGCTAAGACTCAATTTAGTAAAATGGAGAAACTGCTTGAATGTCTATGTGTTTTTACTTAAGCGAGAAAAAATGGACATTTTACCTTTTCTCTTTTAACTTAGAGAAAAAATACAGGATATGAAAGGAAGAGTAGATGGGGTGGGGGAAGAGAGCAGTCTACCACTAACGAAGAGAGATGGTTGTGTGTCTCAGAGAATTCCAGGCATCACCCTGTCCAGATTTCCCACTCGCCCCTTAGTTCCCAGTCCGTGTCCAGTTCCGAATTCCCAGGCATAGTTTTAGGAGCCCAGTGGGACACTCATGACACATGACCTGTCCTGGCTTGCCAGGGAGAACCGTTTGCTGGAAGAGGCTTGACTGGATGAAGCAAGACCAGCCCTGGGCCAGGAAATGCCCTCAGGGAGACCACAACAGGCTCCCCGGCCCTCACACCCTGCCTTCCAGCTGTCCTCAGCAGGAGCAGTCGTCTAGATTGCTCACCGGACACCCCTAGGACTCTACTCCAGGGAAGGTTTAACTGGGGAATGAAGGCGCGGTGCTGACGGACACTGAGGAAACCCAGGACTGCTGAGCTCCAGGAAACTGATTGCCAGGCCTGATTTTCCCCAACAACCAAATAGGAAGAATCTAAAACTCTACTTTATGAATGGGACAGATGCCGGGGAGGCAGCCCAGGCCCAGCTTCCCTGTTTTAAGGTCAGGGGTTGAGAATCTCAGCAGCATTCTTTATTATCTGTTGCTTTGTTTGTTTGTTTGTTTAGGTTCTGCTGAGAATCAAGCCCAGGCCTCAGGCATGCTGGGCAATTGCTGCACTCCATTCCAAAAGTGAATCCCCCTGAAGATCCAACCCAGGACCTTGATTCACTAAGCATGTGTTCCAGTACCTGAGACTCTGGGGTAACCAAAGTAACACTGACCTCAGAGGACTGGTTTGCCATGGAATCAGAGGCAATAAAACAAACTGAATTGTAAATTAAAAAAAATAGAACGAAGAGAAAATCATTACAGAAAAACAAAGCAAAACAAAACAAAAACCCAAACCTCCAATAGGACTTTAAGATTGACGGGGCTACTCCATTTCTCCTTGGGTCCCCGGGTTGAACACAAACACAGATACCAAAGGGGGGGGGGAGTGTGATGTGCAACAGAGGTTCATCTGCTTCTGGGCCTCCACCACACTGGCCTTCAGGGACACGGGTGGCAGTGCCTTCTTTATGTGCCTAACACAAGTGGGTACCATGGGCCTTCACTGGCTTTGGCCATCTCCCTGAAAATGTCACTGTTTCCGTGAGTGTGTGGTCACCTGGGACATGTCAGTGTGTGGTTATCGGGGGCATGGCAACTCTGAGACCCACTGCAAACCTCATCCGTAGCAGGTGGCATGAAAGGCTGGGCAGCAATGATGCTCCAGTATAGCAGTCTCTTGGGTTGTCCAGGCTATTATTCTTGGGTCCCTGCCCTAGCCACGCCCACTCCCATAACCTCTGACCCGCCCATCGCCATCTTGGGACCCTCTCTCTCTTTCTGCTTCCTTGGCGTGTGCACGCGTTTTCTCTGTCTCTCTCTTCTTTTATCTCTCCTCTCTCCTTTTATCTCTTTTCTCTGTCTTTCTTTCTCCCCCTTCCTTAATAAATACTTATGGCTATTTCCTGTGTTTACGTGTCTGTTACCTGCCGCCACCGTGGGCCAAGGAAGCGTGCCCTCCTGTAGCCGCCCTCATGGCGGGCTCCCTCCGCCAGCCCGCCCGGGGACCGTTTGTAGCCGCTCTCTAATCGTTTTTTAAGAATAACACAGGCGACACTCATGAAGGGCCGGCCTGTGTGACTTCACATGTCATGACTAGTTGAACATCAGTCATTCATTTTGTTAACTTCAGTTCCGGGAAACTGAAAATGTATTTCTGTAACGAACGACTATGTTCTCTAGGGAAAACATATATTGGACCAAATGGATCTTCTCTCAACTTCCAGGAGTGAGTAATTCAAAGCCAAGGAAATGCTCTCATATTCCTTGATAAGATACAGAATATACTGGTTGATGGAAGCACAACACATTTAATCCCAGAACTCAGGAGGCAGAGGCAGGCAGATCTGTTGATAGTTCAAAATCAGTCTGGTCTAGGTAATGAGTACCAAGCCATTGAGGACTACATAGCAAGATTGTCTCAAAACAAACCAACAAGATCAGAGTAATTAACAAGGTAACTTCTGGTTATTCCCTTCTTTTATCTGTTAAGATTATAAATATCTGACCCCGAGCAGAAAGCAATAAGGAAACACCACACAGCAACTGCAAATACTCTTGTCCACACTCTGAATATTCAACAGCTCTTGCATTTTTACTTTAAAGATAATTCAGATGTCATCTGAAGGTGGTAAATTCGAGTAGCGGTGGGCGGCCCAGACCAAACACAGATGTTAGAGAATGCCAAAGGGATAGGCCTGGTGGGAAATCACTAAGGATGGACAAACTGCCTTTCAGGTTTGCTTGAGAACTTAACAAAAGTGTTTATCTCTTCAAAGGCCCATGAATCCTGACCTCCTTGAATCCCAAATGGCCTAAAGATGCATTTTCTGAACCAGACACTCTCTGCTGTGTTTGCTAGCTGTGCTGACACTGGTTCCTTTAATAAGGTGCCTAACATAACTGCCCCAGGCTGAGGCATTTGAAATAATTCTTAACCTCTCCTTCCCTCCTGCCTCTTGTCTCCAAATTGGGTTTCTGGGATTTAAAATTCGGACCATCTGACATTTTTGATTGGAGTTTGATTTGAGCAAACAGGTTCTTAAACTATGATCTGGATCTTCTGGAAACTTGTCATTCCATTCCACCCTGTGAGAGCCTGGCCCCTCCCCAGATGTCTAAGGGAGGGATGGATGCTGAGGCCACTGTACACTGGACATTCATGTCTTACTAGGAGAGCAACCAGAAGCAGCCCACCAGGCCCTCCTGCCATCCTTGTCTACATCTCTGTGGGTTTCTAAGTTCCCTCCAGATCCCTAAGCAAAGCAGCAATTTGCCTGGTCTTCTTCTGCCACAAACGGAGAGACATGGCCTTGGGCTGGGCCACAGTCAACATTGTGCATTTCCTGTCGTTGCTGTTGGGGTTCTTTTCCCCTGTCTGCATTTCAGTCAGTGCAAAAAGAACCATTGGATAATCCCAACTGCGGCATTTTCGCTCCAACCTTTCCTCAGGTGGCCGTCTATCAGATTCCCGCAGAACCTTGGCAAGAGAGGTAGGCAGGCAGGTGCTAGTTCCCGTTTTGTGGCACAG